TCCTCTTGGAAGGGATTCCCCGGGACTCTTTCCTCCGCCAGGCTCCCGCCTGCAGCACTTGGGGGGAGCAGAAGGAGGAGGAGGCTCGGCAGTAGGAAACCCTCCCCAGGCCTTCTCCTTTCCGGCCTCTCTAGCAATTAAGGCTCGGTTCTCTTAACCCTTAGAAGGCCCAGGAGCACCACGGGTGGAGCTGCAACCCTTTCCTCTTTGGATCCCTTTGCACCATCTGAAAGGAGACTCTCTCTATGTGTCTCTCCCCTGTCTCTCTGTCTCTCCTTTGCATATTTACTCCCATTTTCCTGGCCAGCGAAAGGCCCATTTGCTTCCAGGCGGAGCTTGCCTTCTCTGGCCCCACTTCGCTCGCCAGCCTGATGAGGAACTCTGAGGGATCTGTAAGCTTGGCTGCTTGCTTTGCAAAGATTTCGCCTGGAAGACGCCCCCCAGGACAGCTCAGTTGTTTGCAGGCGGGAGGAAGAAGAGGCAACAAGAGGGACCCTCGTAAGGGGCACAGACTTAGGCTGGGTGGCCTGGAGGGGCAGGAAGGGAAGAGACGTGGGGAGGGCCCCCTCTTGTGAACAAGCCACCCTATTGCAGGAAGGGGAGTGTGGTGCCAAGGAGAGAGGAGAAGGAAGGCCCCCCACTTGGAGGAAGGGGTTGGAAGGGTTTTGCCCATGCAGCGGGTGGGATCCAGAAGCGGGCACTGAGGAAGGATGCTCGCCAAGATGGGCAGAGAAACCACCTCTCCCATTTGGATGCATAACACGATAAGCTATAACCTTTCAAGTGAGAATGTTTTTGTCAGTTCATGTATTTTAACTAAGGTTAGAATTCAATGGTTTTCGACATATAATTTATTGTGGTTTTAATTCCTCTTTTCACCCTGTGAGCCAGTTTGAGGCCCATTCTCAGGAGAAAGGGGGGCTGTAAATAACTGTTGACTATTTTTCTTATACTACTGTATATTTTGTTTATTATACAGTATTATGGTTCATGTTAATGTGGCATGATTTAAGTTACCAGGTACAGTGGTGCCCAGCATAGCGACGATAATCCGTTCCGGATAAATCGTCGCTATCCGGATTCGTCGCTATACGGGGCTCTGTTGCTTCCAATTTTTTTTTAGTATTGATTTTATATACCATTTGAATAGAATATTTAATTATTTTTAAGTATTTAGACACTATTTTGTTTTTAGCTTTTAAATGTTCTCTTTTTGAATGATCTAAGCCAGTGGTTCTTAACCTTTTTGAAAGAAACGCCCCCTTGAGCCATTGAGGAAGTTATCATCGCCTCCCCCTCCCCGAGGTGATAATATCTTACCTACCTACCTACCTACTTGCCTACCTACCTACCTACCCACCCACCTACCTAGTCTCCCTCCCCACCCGGGTGCGAGGCAG